TAGCACAGCACAGCCCTACAGCACGGCCCCATAGCATGGCACAGCCCTACAGCACGGCCCCATAGCACAGCACAGCCCTACAGCACGGCCCCATAGCACAACACAGCCCCTTGCCACCCCAGTGCCCCCACGACACCCCACCATTCACACCTCCCCCCCCAGGCACTACTCCCCATGGGCACAGTGGGAACATCCCTATGGGGCTGTCGGGGACGCGGCCCCAGCTGTCGGTGCCAGCCGGGCACGGGGGGCTCAGCGGTGCCTGCCCCCTCCCCGTGCCTGCAGCCATTGGCATCTGCCACCCCAGCTGTCCCCGCCAACGCGGCACGGAGCCGGGAACGCAGCCAGGATGGCAACGGCAGCCCTGGGGAGGGCAGAGCACTTGGCGTTGTGGGGGGACGGCGGGTGGCGGGGGGGTGGCAGGTGCCGGCGAGACGCAGCGCTCATCTTTTATTCATCGGGGCGGCGGGGAGAAGCCCTGCGCCCACCCCGTGCCTCGGGGATGTCCCGATGGGTGCTGGGTGCTGAGCACGGGGCAGCTCGTTGCAGGAGTGATGCTGAGCTGGGGACGCTCCCGAGTCCACGGGGACGAGGGGATGTGAGGAGATGCGGGCGCTGCGGGATCGCCGGGGAAGCCCTGACCTCCCAAGGTCAGCATCGACCTGCAGAGCTCCGTGTGCCAACGGCACCGGGGAGGGGGGGCAGAGCGTGGCCCCCCCCGTAGGGACACCTCGGGGTGGTGGCACCGCAGGGGACAGAGCCCCCCCTACAAACACACCCCCCCACACACCCTACACACCCCTGTGTCCAACACGCGGCTCTGCACACCGGGAACCCACCCCGCAGAGATTCTCTGATGGCTGATATCACTGTGCAGCGCTGCGGGGCAGTGGGGAGGAGCGGGGGGGTCCTGCCCTATTGCCCTCGTGGCTCTGCCCATCTCCAGGCCCCCCCAAAGCCACAAATCCGTGGCTGCCAGGACAGTGCTGGGTGGGGTGGGGGTTCATCCACCCCTCTGCCCACCAGCGCCCAGTGAGACGCAGGGCCTGAATGCTGCGTGCCCCATCCATCTCTCCAACCCCCCTCCCACCCCCCCCATAAATATTTGCAGGCGTGCTGGCGGTGATGCCCCATCCATCTGGCACGGCCCCCCCTGGCACGGGCAGCGGGCGCGCTCGGCCGGGCGCCCTGGCACGGCGTCCCCAGCAGATTGGTGCCATCTGCCTCACACCGGGCTGGGGATGGGAGATAAGGGGCTGCCAGGCCTGGGGGGGGGGTAGGGGGGGCACGGCGATGTGCCAAGGGGAGCACGGTGCCACCGCAGGGCTCGATGCCTGCACACCACCCCCCCGTACCCATCTGTTCGCCCCGCTGGGCTCAGCCAAAGGACACTGCTGGGGGAAGATCGCAGCGGGGCAGAGATGGGGATGTGGATGCAGGATCCCCCCCTTTCCCCCCCCCCCACACACAGAGCACCCCAGAGGTGGAGGGAGGGGGGGTTGTGCTGACCCCCCAGCGGTCAGGGAGTGAGGGTGGGGGGATGTGGGGGTGGGGATGTAGGGAGGGGGGCACTGGGATGTGCCAATGGGGGAGTAGGGGTGGGGGTGAAGGGGTGGGGGGATAGGATGGGGGTGAAGGGGGGGGGGTGCAGGGACAGGGACACCGGCAGGTGGGCGCCCAGATGGAGGCACTGGAGATGTAGGGGTGGGGATGCAGCAATGGGACACTGGGATGGGGATGCAGGGACAGTGATAACGGAGATGCAGGGATGAGGGTGATGGAGATGCGGGGCTGGGAGCACCCCCCTGCTTCTCCCCCCCCCTCCCCCCCAGCCCAGGCTGCTGCTGTAGGGAGGAATCTCTCTGTAATGCTTCGAAGGTCCTGGCACAATCGACTGGGGAGATTGATTACCATTTTACTGCAATGCTTTTGACTTTCACCGGCGACCTCCGAGCTTCCCCCCCCCCCCCCCCCCCCCCCCCCCCCCCCCCCCCCCCCCCCCCCCCCCCCCCCCCCCCCCCCCTCTGCTGCACACCCAGCCCTGGGCTGCAGCGCCAACCCCTCCCCCACTGCGGTGTGCAGAGCCCAGCCCTGCACCCAGCCCTGCACCCAGCCCTGCACTCAGCCTGCACCCAGCATGCAATCACCCTGCACCCGATGAGCACTCAGCGTGCACCCGACTTTGCAACAACCCCACAGCCACCCTGCAACCACCCTGCAACCATCCTGCACCCGGCACTGCAGCTGCACTGCACCCAGCCAGCAGCAACCCTGCACCCAGCCTGCAATCGCCTGCACCCAACGTGCACCCAACCTTGCAATGACCCTGCACCCAGCCTGCACCCAGCACTGCATCTGCACTGCGCCCTGCAGCGGAACCACTCTGCACCTATCCAGCACCCAGCCTGCACTTAGCATTGCAGCCATCCTGCAACCACCCTGCCCCCATCCTGCAACCACCCTGCACCCAGCTTGCACCCAGCATTGCAATGACTCTGCATCCAGTGTGATCCCAGCACTGCAATCACCCTACACCCACCTTGCAATCACCCTGCACCCAGTGTGCACCCAGCATTGCAATCACCCTGCACCCAACCTGGAATCACTCTGCACCCAGTGTGCACTCACCGTGCACCCAGTGTGCACCCAGCACTGCAAACACCCTGCACCCAGCTTGCAATCACCTTGCACCCAGCTTGGAATCACCCTGCACCCACCTTGCAATCACCCTGCACCCAGCTTGGAATCACCCTGCACCCAGCTTGCAATCAACCTGCACCCAGCGTGCACCCAGCACTGCAACAACCCTTTAACCGCCCTGCACCCACCCTGCACCCACCCCACATCCAGCACTGCACCCATCCTGCACCCAGCCCTGCAGCCAGCACCCAGCACACCGTGGGGCTGCACACAGCCCACGAGGGGTGGTGCACAGACCCCCGTCTCCCCCCCACGACCCCCACCCATGCCTTGGTTTCCCCACGTGCACACGCAGGGTTCCTTTGGGCATCCCGCAGGGCTCGGTGCCATCCTCTTGGCACTGTTTTGCAGGGGCAGCTCACTCCCCCTCCCCAGACAGGGAGGGCTGACCGTGGGGGTTCCTCCGCAGCCCCCCTCCCTCGCGTTGCCAGAGCAGCAGTTGGGAAATTCTGCTGACAGCAGCAAAAGGAGCGGGCGCGGGCGGGCAGCTGAGCCCACGTGCTCCGGCCCCATAGCGGGGGGCTGCGGGCAGCGGGTGGATGAAGGCCCCCAACCTCCTCCTGCCTGCAGCAAGGGGGTGGGGGGGGGGGTCGCAGATTGGGATGCGCAAAGGTGGGGAGGAGTGTGCAAAGCGGGGAAGGAGTGGAAGCACGCAGCAAAATGAGGGAGCGTGCAGGATTGACTGCAAAGGATCGTGCAGGGGTGTGCAAGAGAGTGCAGCCGTATGCAGATGCACGCAGGACCGAGCGTGCAAAAGCGCAGGAAAGGATGGTGCACAACCCCACACGCACAGCTGTGCAGGACTGTGCAGACACGTGCAGGACTGAGGGTGCAGCAGCGTGCAGGGAAAAGCAGCCGTGTGCAGGGTTGAGTGTGCAGCAGCAAGTCTACAAGCCTGTGCCCAGCGTGTGCCCCCCACACCCCCCCACGCCCCATTTCCCTGCAGCACCCTGCTAACCTCTCCAACACAGAGCAGAGGGCGCACGATGGGGCAGCACCCAAAGGTCCCCCCCACTGTCCCCAGTCCCCCTTAACCACGGCGCAGAGCGACCTTAACAGGGAAAGTGAGCTGCTGCCAGGGCCTTATCAGGGAGTATTTACAGCCGCCGTGTTCCCAATTAGACATCAGGTGACTGCGGCTGCTGGGGACCCAGACGTTGGGGTCAAGGTCACGGGTTGGGGGTGGCAGAGGGGCGGCTGCTTCCGTTGGGGACAACGGGATCGCGTGGCTGCCGGGAGCACCCTGCACCCTACATGGGGGCACCCATCGGGGTTTTGTCCGCACCCTGGTCGGCTGTGAGCTGCCCAAAGCCAGCCCCGTTTGGTGACCCCCATTTGGTGGGGGCTGCGGGGCGCACGTGATGCCAGTCAGACCGCCGTGGCTCCCGGGGGACCGAGGTGACACCCTGCACATCCGCCCGCGCCCGCCGTGATTTATGGCTCCGTCAATCCCCTTTGTTGGGATTACAGCCACCGGGTGCCCCCCTCGGTGTCATTATCTGTCCTTGGGCTGCAGCCAGCGCTGGGTGAGGAGCGGTCATACGCTGCAGAGGGGTAATGGGACACGTCCAGGGATGGGGACGGGTCTTGGGGTGGGGACAGGTCCTGGGGTGGGGACGGGTCCTGGGAGCACCGCATGGTGCTATGGGTCCCCTGCCTGTAGGATGCTCTGCAGAGATTCATTGGCAAGCCCTGATCTTCCTTGCTGCTCTGTGCCCACCCTGGGGTGCAGAGGGACATGGGTGACATCGGGACGCACAGGGGATGTTGAGAAGCACGGGTGACATCAGGGAGCACAGTGTCCCAGCAGTATGGGTGCGACCCCTCCTCAGCCCCACAGATGATGTGCTCAGGGCCTCAGGTCCCTGCCAAAACGACTCCACCCGTTTGTCCCCCATCTGCCCAATTGGGGCCACATGTGCCAGCAGGGCTCTGGCTGGGGACGTGCCTGGATAACACAGGAGCTGGCCTGAGGCTCAGGCTCCATTCTCCTGGCACACAAGGACCATGGCTTGGGGACCACTCTTGGCTACCAAGCCTGGATGCTGCACCGTGCCTCAGTTACCCCATTTGGACCCCAAAGGCTTTGGGAGCGGCTGTGACCCATGTCGAAGCACAGCCCTGGGGACACACCGTGCCACCCAACCACCAGAACAGCAGCACCCCTGGGACCGGGATCGGCGTCAGGTGGAGAAAAAGGGACAGTGGGGGACACCCACTTGGGGTGGGAGCGATCTGGAGCACCGGGATCCTCTCTGCGAGGTCCGAAAGGGAAGGAAAGAGGGAAGGGAGCCCCGTACCTCTCTCACGGACGAAATAGGCCAAGTAGAGGTCGAGCTCTTTGACGGAGACGCTGATGTGGTGGGGCTGGATGCAGAGGATGGGGTTGGTGCACTGGCCCGCCTTGACCAGCCGCTCGCCGTCGGTGCTCTCCAGGGGGATCCCTTTGAACAGGATGACCATGACCAGGTCGAGCCTCCACACCTTGTCAGCCTGCCGCAGGCAGTCGATGCGGCGCATTTTGCCCTTCTGGTCGGGGTTGGAGAGGACGCAGCAGGACGGCTTCTTGCCGGTGATGGAGAGCACGAAGTCCTCGCGGCACTCGGGCCGGATGTCTTTGCGCAGCTTGGCCAGGAGGCGCGAGGCCCATTTCTGCTTCACCTCGGGCTTCTCGCTCAGCAGCTCGTCCTTCACCGCCCGCTCCTCGTCCTTCGTCATCCTCTTCTCGTGCTTCTTGAAGTACTTGCGCTTGCGGGCCTGCAGGTTGAACCAGGTGTAGGCGAAGGCCCGCACGTGGGGGAGCAGCGCCTCGATGAAGGGGTGGAACTCATCCTGCGGGGCACAGAGACAGCGTGTCACCCCCAGGGCCCCGCAGCGCGACCCCAAACCCACCCCTGGCCACTTATGGGGCCAGGCCCAGCATTCCCAAACCCAACCTTATCCACTTGTAGGGCCGCACTGGGGTCAGACGTAGTGTCTCCAAACTCAACTGTAGGGCCCCCCTGGGGCAGACCTGGTGTCCCTCACTTAACCCCAGCCACCTGTAGAGCACCAGTGGGGCAGACCTGGGGTCCCCAGACCCGCTCTTGGCCACCTGCAGAGCCCCACCAAGGACAGATCTGGTGTCCCAAACCCAACCCCAGCCACTTGTGGGGACAAACATAATGTCTCCAAACCCTCCCATGGCCATTTTTGAGGACAGACCCAGTGTTCTTAAACCCATCTTCAGCCAGCTGTGGGGCTATGACAAGGACAGGCCTGGTGTCTCCAATCCAACCCTCAGCCACTTGTGGGGCCATGCCTGGGGACAGACCAGGCGTCCCCAAACCCCACCACGGCCACTTGTGGGGTCACGCTGTGCCACGTCCCCATCCAGCCAGCACCCAGAGGGCAGGGACATGGCACATGCCCACCACAGGAACAGGGACCCCAATGCCACTGCAATGCCAAGGGGGGCACAGACATCACTCCCCATCCCCATAAATCCCATCAGGGTGCAATGGAGCCGTGGGGGCCACCCCACACCTCACCCAGATGCCAAGCATCTCCCAGCACACCGGCTGCCATGTGGTGTGGGCATGGGGCGGGCACGGCGGGGCTCCCCCCGGTATGAGGGAACTCCCCCCAGTTTGCCCCAGTTCTGGGCAGCCCAGCTGCTGGCGCGAGGCCCAGTGAGCAATGCGTGCTCTGACTGTCTTTTTCCATTTGGCTGCTGGACGAGTCCGTCCCCGAAAGAAAACAAGGAAAGTGCATCCATCTCCACGGCCCCTCCTTCCCGCATCCGATTTTCCCACTTCGGAAAAATCCGTGCTTGGGTTTGCATTGGGAACAGCCCCTGCGCCCCAAATCCCAGCTGGGAGGTGGCGAAGCGCGGCCACCAAACCCTTCAAAAATCATCTCCTCCTCTTATTTTCTTGCTTCCCTCCTGACTGCAATCACAGCGGGGACAGGGCGAAGCAGAGTGCAGGGTCTCAGTGCAGCCGGGAGGAGCTGCGCCTCGGCCACCGCAGCCCTGTCCCCAAGCGACCTCACTGCTCCCTGCTCCAGCACAGAGCCTCAGCCCCATAGCAGCCCCACAGCAGCTCCACAGCAGCCCCACACCGGCCCCACTGCCCCAGCACTGCCCCCACTGCCCCCTGACCCAGCACAGCCCGCCAGCACAGCCCCACCAACCCCAAAAGTCTCCCCATGCATGAACCCAATTATTTTCCAGCACAATCCCACCCTGGAAGCTGATGGCCCCTACTCCAGACCCATTTTTTCCCCCTACCAACCCCAACAGCATTACCACAGCTCTGGCCCTTCATAAGGGATCCATCCTGTGGGTAGGATCCATCCTGCCCTTGGGATCACATCCTGCCCATGGGATCCCATCCCACCCATAGGATCCCATCCTACCCATGGGATCACATCCTGTCCATAGGATCTCACTCATGGGATCACATCCCACCCATAGGATCACATCCTGCCCATGGGATCCCATCCCTCCCACAAGATCCCATCCACTCACGGATCACATCCCTCCCATAGGATCCCATCCTGCCCACTCATGGAATCACATCCCACCCCTAGGATCCCATCCTGCCCATGGGATCACATCCCACTCATAGGATCCCATCCTGCCCATTGGAATCCTCCTGCTTGTAGGATCCATCCTGTCTATAGGATACATCCTGACCACAGGATTCCCATCCTGCTTACAGGATTCATCCTGCTCACAGAATCTCATCCACCCATAGGAACCCCATCCTGCCCAGAGTACTCATACTGCTCCTAGGATCCCATCCTGCCCACAGGACTCATCCAGTCCCCAGGACCCCATTCTGCCCACAGGACTCATCCAGTCCCCAGGACCCCATTCTCCCCACAGGACCCCATCCTGCCCACAGGACTCATCCTGCCCATGGACTCGCCCCTGCCGGCTGCTCCCGGGATGTCCGCAGCCCCGCATGGCCGCAGGCTCTGGTTCCCTCCCCAGCAGCCGCCGCTAATTCACTGCAGCTGGGCAAGGGCTGGGCATGTGTCTTAAATCAGGGAAGAAGGTCAAAGAAAAGTAAGACAGGAGCCGAAAAAAGAAGCAGCAAGTTCCAAAAACAATACTTGGCCGGGGCGGTGGGCGGCCGATCTTCCTTGGTGGCCGGTTATCCAGGCAAGCCCTACAAATTGCTGCCATACCCCAGCCCTGCCAACACCCCGGGCAGGGGCAGCCGGAGGGCACCGGCGTTGTCCCACTGCAGGGACAGCAGGGAGGGAGCGCTGTGAACGGGGACAGGGGACACTCGGTGCCCTCCAGATGGTCCCACTGCAGGGTGACGATCGCCGGCGGGTCCCCCTCACCCCACAGGCACCACAGCGGGATTAGGGCGAGCCAAGAGCCGGACCCAAAGCCGATCAGCCCCGCGCCAACTTTCCCTCCCGCCCAGCTTATCCCACTTGGGGATGCTGCATCGAGCTAAGCTGCTTTAGCGGGGCCAGGCGGGGGCACAGGGACAGCCGGGGGGATGCTGCGCCTGCGGACAGCCAAGGCTCACTGCCATCCCAGCAGGGAGCTGCGTCCCCGTGGCACCCAGGACAATTTGGGGACACCGTGGTTGTGGTTCCCAGGTCCCCGCTACTTGAGGTTGGGGACCCCCAGGGTCACCCCGAAGCCAACCGCCTCACAGCGGCACGACGCAGCGCCGGCACGGGGCTGGTTAACTTTTTCCCCTGTTGTTTTTCATTTGCTGGGCTGGGAAGCAGAGACATGCTGCAATACCACAGACAAGGCTGTTCTCAGGGCATTTCCGGCCGGGAATCTGGCAGCAGAGTCTGTTCTTGGGGCCCTTCCAGCCCGGGCTTGTAAAGCCCCGCAACCCGAGGAGGAGCCGCCTGCGTCGGGGTGCTGCTGGCACCGGGGTGCTGCCAGCACCAGGCCCCCCCCCACACTGCCCTTCCAGGCAGGGGAGTGTTTGCAGGGAGGGGAAACCGAGGCAAGGCAAACCTCAGCTCCCAGTGCCCATCTGGGATGGATGGATGGATGGATGCCCTGTGTGGTGCTGAGCACACCGTGTTGGGATTAGCAGCACAGCGAGGTGCCTTCCGCCCTGGAGACAGAGGGGAAAGCACTGTGCCACCCAGGGATGTGTCACCGGGGGGGGCAGCCCTTCCTGCACACGGAAAGGGTGGGCAATTCCATGCTGCATGCCAAGCACCGGGCATCACAGCGCGGGGATCACAGGCACTGCGGCACCAGCACAAGCACTATGGCACCAGCAGCACAGCACTGGCACCATGGCACAGGATGTGTGCCATGGCATGTGCACTGATGGCACGGGCACCATGGCACGTGCACTACAGCATGGGTATTACGGCATGGGTAGCCACGGCACAGGCACTGTGGCACAGATTCCATGGCACGACGACATCACAGCACGGCGATCTGAGGATCCCTTGCACCACGAGCACCTCGTCCAAACAGGTTGAGCTCTGTGAGCTCTGAATTTTCCAATGAGAAAAAAAAAAAAAGCACCAAAACCCCACGTTTCCTCAGGAAATTCCCGAGCAGTTTTCATGGGGGGGAGGAGGAGGAGGAGGAGGAGGAGGAGGAGGGGATGGGACTGACGGTGACGGCGGGTCACACTCCCCACCAGCATCGCCGATCCCGGCGCGGTGCGGGACGCGCTGGCAGCACCTCGGCCCCGCGCAGACCACACAGGGTTGGTGTTATTAAAGGATGCTCAGCCTCTCCGCCAGCCAACCACACACCTCAAAAACGCTGCCGGCTCTGCGGCTGCCAGCTCCCCATCCCCGCGGCCGGACGAGCCCAGGCAGGGGCTGGCACGCTGCGCCCTGCGCCGTGCCCTGCAGGAACCCGCTGCGAGCAGGGGGATGCACCACGCTCCCCCGTTCCCCAAAATCCCAATCGTGGCTGCCATGCAAACCCACGGTGCGGATGGGGAGATGCTCCCTGCGCTCGCCCTGCTGTTGGTTTCCCCACGAACGCACGGCGAGGCCTCCAGTAGCAGCTTATTAACTGTTCGCAGCAACGGCACTCGGTAATAAGTTAACCTGGTAATGAGACCTGTTGCTGAGACAGATGCAAATGATTTGAAAGTGCTCATTAGAGTGTATTGAAGGAAGGCACTTAGTCCCTGAAATGCACCCAACCTTTCTCGGGGCCGTCCCTGCAACATATTAGAGCCCATTTTACAATAATTGCTCCAGAGGAGGAAATCTATTTGGATTCATCATCAAGTATTTATTAATGAGAGCTTATTCATAATTTTTGCTGCTCTCCGGCATGGTGCAGCCGAGCTTCCCGGCCGGCTCTGCAGGTCCTGGTGCAGGTGAGCGGCCGGGAGGGAAATTGAGGCACACTGGATGCTGCGTGCTGCACAAACCAACGCCCAGAGCACCTTCAGAACCAAACCAGAGCAGAGACAAAGGCTGCACGCATTCGCCAAGCGGGGCCAGCGGGTGGGGAAGAGCTGGACGCTCTGAGATGGCGCAGACAGGGAGGGATCCCTATGGAGTGCACCCCAAAATCAGCCCCAAAGAGGATGAAGGATGGGCGTGTGGTGCAAGCAGGGACATGGGACAGAGGTGGACACAAGCAGTGCCACCCTGAGCTTGAGGACAAAGCGAGACCCTCACTGCCTCCCCAAGCTGGGACACAGAGCTCGGAGGGGACGGAACGCGCCGTGCCACCGCAGCTGGAGGTGCCCAGGGGCAGAACACGCTGTGACAGCCGCTCTGTCCCCGTCTCTCCCTGCTTTGGGGTGGGGACGACCCGGCCCCATGCTTGCAAAATGCTCACACCCCACGGAGGAGGACGCAGGGCCACCTCCCTGCAGCACCCTGTGCCCGTGCAGAGCCCACTGCCCCCATCCCTGCTCTGGTGGCACCACATAGGCACGGTACAAAGGTGGGAGTGTGCACACTGCAGGGTCGGGATGCAGCCCACCATCCCAAGGGGAGGATGGATTCAGCCAGAGGGTCAGCCAGGATGGAACAGACAGACAATGAAAGGCTCAAAACGTTCCATCAACCACCCCAAAACTCAGCAGCACCGCGCAGACACCAGCGCAGGCAGGGATGCCACGGGTGGGATACCAGCATCCCCAAACCCCAACCTGGTATATGCTAACCCCAACACATGCTAACCCCATGGCACCCCAGCACACCATCCCCTAACCCCAAACGCCCCGCTGCCTCCTTTGAAGCCCATACCCCCCCCAGGGCCGCAGCAGCCCCCAAGCGATGCCGGTGCTCGCGCCTACGTGCTGGGGCGGGCGGCGATGCCGGCGCAGGTGCTGTGGGGCCGGGAGCTTCCCTGGGTCACGGGAGGCCACGGCAGCAGCAAACTTGCCAGTTGCTTTGGAAAACAGCAGGAAGAAAAGCAGCTCTCTTCGCAGCCCCAGGCTCAGGTGCCAGCGCTGCACGGATGCGCGCCAAGCAGAGCAGCCCCAGGTGTCCCCGCACCCCCAGGTGCCCCCAGGTGCCGTCCCCGAGGGGCGAGGGAGCAAACAGCTCAGCCACATCCCTGTCCCTAAGGATGAGGATGGGGAAACTGAGGCATGGCACCCGCAAGGGACAGGCAGTGGGGACACACCAAGGAAATGCATTCCCCCCCCCCCCCCCCCCCCCCCCC